GGGTTGGGGTTGGGTTGGGGTTGGGTTTTGGTTTGGTTTGGTTTGGTTTGGTTTTGCAATCAGACTCGCTTTTCTTTCCACTTCGCACTCATGCAAACAGGTGGTGGATCACACTGGCGCACGGCGCGCACTCAAAGCTCAAAGATATGGAAGTTGAAAACACAGTTCAGATACAAACTCGCTTCAACAGGCAATGGCGTATCAGCGCCTGTACACCCCAACTCTCGTCTCTCTGCCCAACACGACTGTTGGCACTCACTCAACTCTGGATCACCCTGGATATCCCGCACGCATACACACTCACACGCACTACCACTACCACACTCACCTATCAGCTATGGCGGCTATGGCCGCTGTCCCTCACTAGCTATGGCTAACTATCTCCTTCAGCCCACTTCGTCTTGGGGCACTCTGCAGACCACCTCGCACAAGTCGCTCAAGCAGCGCTTCCGCATGGCTTACGCAGGAATGAATGAATGGCTGGACGCTGCCGCTTGATTTATACTTCTGGAAGTCGCTGGTCTGCCTCTTTCCACCGGGCCCATGGTGCACACATCCCTCATGGTACTTGCTGACTGGACTCAGTGAGACTGGGACTGGGTACCGCTGACTCAGCAAGGGTGGACTTCACCACTTGCCCACTTGCCTCTAGTCTGTTGTGAGCAACGTTGGAAGGGCCACTTCCGGACCTTCCGGAAGTCTGCGGACTTGGCCCTTCGACACTGTAGCAGCTACGACCTTGACCTTTCAGGACTCTAGCAGCTACGAACTTGACTTTTCAGAAGAGCTACAGCTACGACTTCTAGAACTCACTAAGACCTCTATCCGAAAGGTCTACAGATCGAACCCCTACAACCTACGGACCTACGACAGCCTACCAACTGTTGCGAATACACAGGGCACGGGTTCAACGCTCGGGGTCGACACAGGTACTGTACACAGGTAAGGTAAGAACTAGGGATCGAGCCCTGGGATCTGCATTCACTACTACTAACAGGTGAATACCGTTTCAGTTTGGTTTGGTTTGGTTTTGGTTTTGGTTTGTTTTGTTTTTGAACATCTGCTGGGAGTGCTGCCTGGAGTGATAAAAACATCCCTAGGTAGTATCCCCCCCGCCAACGGGAGATGGCTCCTTTCTATGATTGTGAGCTGCCCCTGCTGGAAACCGGGTCCAGCATCCCATTACTTGCACAACAGAGAGAGAGAGTACCAGGGCCATTACCCGGCTTCAGCTAGAATGGCTTGAGTTAGAGCCCCGCCCCTCTGGGCACCTTTTTTCTGCATGCTTGAAACTGGGCCGGGGGAGGGGTATGAACGCTAAGGGACCCCGACCCTCCTACCTCCTCCCTTCTCCTACTGGACCCTTTGACATTCTTCATCCCCATGCGGGACCTTAAAAGGGGTACCTCCAGAGCTAGATGGTGCTTTGCTTTGAGGTCTGTGATATTGCACTTCTCTTTTCCGCGCCAGCAGCAAGCAAGCATGAACACGTTGGGTGCACTTGGTATTTTGTTTCCTGGTGCATGTTCAACTGGGCCAGAGGAGGAGTATGAATGCCGGGGGGGCACCGGCCCTTCCAACCCCCTTTTTCTGCATGCAGAAAAAAGGAAGGGGTTAAAGGAAGGATACATCCTCGGGCCCAACTGTTTTTTGGCTTGAGGACCGAAGGCCCACAAGTCTCAAAGGTGGCCTGGTGAGGGAGGAAGGGGTGTGCACTGTGCAGACAACATAATTTGTCCCCCCTCCCACGATTTCCAAAATATGCTAGTTCCCTTTCGACTTTGGAGTCTTTTTTTTTTTTTTTTTTTTTTTTAATAACTTCGTATACGGGAAACCTACTTAAAGAGGTGATAAGAGCATTAACCTAAGGGTGATGGGCTGCCGCTGTGGTCTCTCAGAATGCATCGATGTATTCACTGTGGGAGTAAAGACTAGTACAACTTTGCGCGATCTGATGGGTAAGGTGAATCCTTTTATATATTTTTTTCTCTTTTGTTTCGAGTCCCAGTCCCAGGAGCTTCAGTGGTGCTCATGGGTCTGGGGCCATAAAGTTTGCTTGATGAATCTTGACACAATTCAGGTCCAGGAAGGAACGCTGGACCTGATTTCCAGGAGGTGCTGCTCCCCACCAATAGATGGAGCCTTCGACGCAGGGGCCCACTTAACGAGGCTGCTCTTACCACCTCGTTAAGTGGGTTTCCCCGTACACGAAGTTTTCAAAAAAAAAAAAAAAAAAAGGGAAGCCAATAATATCGTTAACTTCAACATTACCCAATAGGTCACACAAGGGCTAAAGGATCAGTTGTACCTGGTTTCTATTGTATTGTTGGATCCTTAACCTTGTGTGCTATGCAGTCTGTGTCATCTTGCTGAGCATGTGGGCCTTCTGGCCTCAAGCCCAACAGTTGGGACCGGAGATGGGGACAGTGGATTGGCCCAAGCCAAAAAACAGTGGGACCGAGGATGTATTCTTCCTTTAACCCCTTTGTCATAACCCCTTTGAAGCTTGTGGGCCTTTGGTCCTCACGCCAAACCGTTGGGCCCGAGGACGTGTCTTTTATATTTGTTGGCTTCGCGCCTTTCGTATTTTTGTTGAAGTTTGTTATGGTACACTACGTTATGCTTTCACTAAATGCCAAAGGGATGATGCTTGGAGACGTGGTAGGAATGCAAGGCAAGACCATCCTTTTTTTTTTTTTTTTTTTTTTTTTTTTAAACACAACCCCGTCCAGTGCTAGTGGTGCTGATAAGAGCAGACACCACTAGCACATGGGGAGCGGCTCCATCTATTGGTGGGGAGCGTCACCTGCTGGAAAACGGGTCTAGCTTCTCTTATACAGCCTGAAAAATGGATACATCAGAGAAGTATTTGTGGGAGAATTCCTGCCAGCATTGACTGAGCAGAATATTAGGAGGGAAGGGGAACCTCTTCATCCAGAAACGGACGCCCGATACATCGCTACACACTAGTTCCTCCTTTCTCCTGAGCCACGTGGAACCCATGCTAGCTGGAAACCAGGACCAGTGTCCCATAACCTGCCTGGGTGCCATGACGAAGGGCCAGGAGGAGCCACTGGGGGCCACCAGTGGGATCTCCTTGCGTCCTTCTCTTTCCTGAACTTATGGAATATGGCTGGGTTTTGTAAGGATGAGCTTATATGTATGTGTATGTATGTGGGTATTACGGAAGATGTTATTTCTTACTAGGTGCAACGTTCTTCTTCATGTTCCTTGTGCCTTTGTCCCCTCGTTTCGTCCCTCGGTAGTGCTATCAGAGCTGTAGCCTCACGGTTGCCTGCTCTAGTGCTACACAAGCCAAACAGTTGGGACCGAGGATGATCCTTCCTTCAGCCCCTTTGTCATACATAACCTCTAGGAGGTTTGTGGGCCTTTCGGGTGTCAAGCCAAAAAACAGTTGGGCCCGTGGACGGACGGGCCACTAATGACACCACCAATCAGGGTTGGATAAGTTGATTCAAATAATACCGACTCTAGTACATGAATATCTTGTCTGAAACTGGTCAGATTCGTCACAATCTGGTAGGGCCACAAGTCTGATGCCTCTTTATCTTCATCGGATGACTTGATTCCAGTCCGTAAGCAAGCCAACCTGCACTTGTCCTTCATGAACAGAGTTGAACAGACAGGGAATGTGCTGTTTATCCTGTGGTCTTCCTGTTTTCATGTCCTTTGTTGGGCAAGAAGCTTGCGACCGCAAAGTGCAGCTCGCAGCTGTTACCACATTCATAAGCGATGACTATTGAAAACAGTTTTTCCGGATATAAGTTGGATTGAAAACGGTTTTCGGAAGTTGATTAGAAAGAGGCTTTGTACTAGTTTGTAAAGCAGTGACGACTTTCATGACTTGCCCGTGAAAGTGGAACCGTTCTGCCACTCCGAAGTGAGAATTAGAAAGGCGGCACTAGCAGCTCCATGGGATAACGGAGCCACGGGATGAGTCAATAATAACCACAGCCCCAGGAATCAACAAACACCAATCTCTGTGCTACATGATGTATCAATGGGACGCTGGACCCGGTTTCCAGCAGGCGCCGCTCCCCACCAATAGATGGAGCAGCCC